AATATACCTTTCTAATTGGATGAAATCCGTTTGATGTATATACATTGAGCACCACGAGTGTTTCACGTAGGAAGTTGTAAATATTATTGTGTAATAAATATTTGTAGTTAATTTCACCTTTAACTAAGACTTCGTTTCAGTCTATACTATATGTATATAGATAGGTGTTATGTCCGTGTGGTTATTCGGCTTAAATAACATATCCCTAGACAGAGTGCCAAGAGGAGATCTCATACGAGAGACCCTCCTCTCTAATAAGTCATAAGTCAGATCACCACAACAGCTTCCATACAAACCTGACTGCATACAGCTCCTATATAAGCCGGACCCTGCAGACATCTCCCTCAAAATAAGCTGAAAGACAAAAAAGGTCTTATCTAGATGTCTCAGGCATAAGTTGGCACACAAGTCACAAGGATTGAATTGAATATCAATACTTTCACATTGTGCTCTCTGGATTTAATGGCACTGAAAAGATCAGTAACACCTTATTTGTAAGATAATAGTTATTTCTTATTCACATCTGCTAATTTAAGCATACTGGTCACATAGCTAGGCGACCAAATTTGTTCATTATTTACCCGCTTAATGTAATTTACAAACGAAAATATTATTTTATTTATATTCAGGTGTCATCTGTGTAGGAAAGTTAAAATTGAAAGCTCAAAAATTAGATTGATTAATGGAACTTGCCGTGTAGCCCTTGACAGGTAATTTAAATTTGTTCTATTTTTGTCAAGTGTTATTTACCTTTGCAGTTTTCATAATCTTTATCATATGTGTTTTTATATGTCAGTCAGTTGTGTTGAATGAAATCAGGCCTGTGATATTTTATTCATGTACTGTTAAAATGTCTAAGCTTGTGTCCATGAACTGTAAATATGTCTACGATTTTTGTTCATGTACAGAGTACTGTTAATATGTGAAAGATTGTGTCCATGTATTTTAAATTAAATGTATTTTAGAATGAGTCCATGTAAAGTTAATATGTTTAAGATTGTGTCCATGTACTGTAGTATCATAATGTGTACATTAGTTGGAAGATATATCTGGAATTTGTGCAATATGAAAAACATTTGGATTACATTAAAACGTTTTCTTTTTTTTAGTTATTATGAATTAAAGCTATTAAGTAAGACTATTTTGTACATGTCTTCAAATCTCTTCAAATACACTACTACAGCAGACAATTTGTGAATCCTACCCCAAAGGCACAGAGGATCACAATGAAATTGAATTTGTTGGAGGCGTCCGATGTAAGGATGAGCCCCATTCAGGAAAACATAAAGGATTCCTAGGTAGCATGGTTAGACGCTACAATAATCCATTTTTTGCTCTTGGGGTCAAGAAATTAATTATTGATGAGGACACACAAAGGTAGGTTAAAAAGTGTCTCATGATAAATACAAATATGTTTTCATATTTTATATAACTTGTTAATTCTAACATTTTAATAACTCAAAATGCATATTACCTTTTAAAAATTTATGTTAAAAAAAATATTTTAAACTTAAGCTGTCAAGCATATCAAGAAAATGTGGTAAAAAACAGCCAAACTAACTAAGTTATATTATATGGCTGTTCTTTTTGAGTCTAATGACACTTTCAGCTATTTAGGAGTCTTTTTATTTTGTTATTGTATATTTTCTAAAAACCAAATATGACTGAAAACTGAAAGTAAATTCAAAAAGGGTTATTCTTCTTTGCTTTATGAAGCATCATATCAGGAGATATGGCAACCAGTTCAAATGTTGAAGACATGGCAGAAACTATTGATTATATTATTCAGACAGAATTGGAAGACTTGCCCGAGCCAAGTAGTAGTGGGATCAAGATAACATCTTACAAAAGAGATCACTTGATCAAAGTAATAAACTCTTGTAAATAATTTTATTGTAATGTATATAATAACACTATAGCTACTATTAATTGTATCTATGAATAATTACCTGAATCAATTTTTAAAATTTATACCCATGCAAACACAAACAATATTTTATTTCATGGAAAACTTATAATTCAAAGCAATTATATTAAGTATAAGTTCCACTTAATTTGTTTGTAAATTCAGATAATCATGAAACCAAGATACCAAATATTGATGTTGCTTTGCAAAGTGTGATGATGAAGTTTATCAAATTGATAAATTGCTTTCACAGCTTTGAGAAAATGTAATGATCCATACAAATCCAATAGTAGATTGAAAGCTTTTATTTTTTTTGCTTTGTAAAAACAAAACAAAAATTATATTTATTTTATAGAGCCATATAATTTGGTAATTACTACAAACTGTCTATCTATTTAAAAGACTGTCTACTTAAAAGACTACTCACTGTTGCTAAACCTGAAATCAACTCTCATCAAAATAAGATGTGGGCATTGCATGCATACAAACAATATGAACTCGAAAACACATCCTATAACAAAGATGTTGGGCAATATACCAAAACAAGTTAAATTTGTGAAGATTAGTTTTAGTCTAAAGACGCTTACATTACCTGTAACAATTAAATAATCTCCACATAACTTTATAACCTCTTATTTATATCATAAAAATTACTAAAATATATAAAATTATGATAAGATTTTATTTGATTGCAGTCCAAATGAATATGTTCTTTCTTTAATAAGGACCAAGTTGTTAAAAAATATTTTCATCTTATTGTTAATTTTCTTTATTTAAAAGGGTCCATCACAGTTTTTGTATTCATTATAGTGTATATTCTTTACTCAATTACTTTCATTAGCTCCAGGCTTTAGGCTAAGTTCTTTATTCCTTTATGATAATTTTATAGTCCTGTTTTTAAATTATAACTAAAAACTGGGTGAAATGTGATTATTATTATATTCCATACAGAATATGTAAAAAAATCCATTAAAAAAAAAAAAGGCTTAATATAGAAATTATTTTTCAGAGCACTTTAGACAAATATAGACAATTGGCTTGAATACATGGCTCATTTGAAAAAAAATTATTACATTTTTGAAATTGAAAGCAAATTAGCTAAGTTTTTTTATACATATCTTTTAATATTTTGTCTTTTATTGCAATAAAAAAAATACAACATTTTTACTGCATAGTTGGATTAATTTAATCTATAATAAATTTGAAAACCATGGGAAGATAACACAAAGCAGACACACATGACCACAAGAAGTAAAAAGGTGTTTGGATAGTATTATAGTAAAACCATTTGTTACTATAATTAGATGTCACTACATGCTGTCTGACAATGGGATCATGCCACATCCCTTTCATGTTAACTTATTTATATGTCAGAAGGGCACTCCAGTACTGCAGGGAGTGAACTTCCAAAAATATCCCAACAACATAATGGTTGTCAAAACAATCTTTTTAGGACATATTTAGGTTCCAACAATAATTTTTAGAGTAGAGAATAACTCTGGAATGACTTTTCATTTATCATTTATCTAATTTCCAAAGTTCCATGTACATCAATAAACATCTAAGAAATCAATTTAACGCAAATAAACATATCTTTTAGGCAAATTGTGTTTACTTTGTCTAAATTCAACAGGTATTTAGGGTTGTTCTTTTAATTGAAAAAAAACACAACATCACTACATAAGTTACTATCACCAATAGACATCGCTCGGCCTTGCACCCAAGTAGCAGAAGTGGGGTTCAGATATTTAACGTGCGCAAATTTGGAAACAAATTAGACAATTAAATTTAAATGAGGGGGCAGGAAAGTGAAAAGCAGCAAGGGGACCGTAATAAGTCATGTGATGGCTTTGCTATCACCTCAAACAATTGATTATAATAATAAATTGCAAGCAGATAAATATATTACATTATATATTTCATATTTGTAATCGCCCTCAGGGCCAGTGTGAGCCATGAAAGAATTTGGAAACATAAATAAATACACATTATCACAGTAATAACAACTTTTTAAACTCAAATTTCAATGACAAATTAAAATACAAATATTCATAATTTATTTTTAAAATATTTTTTTAAAAAAATTAAATAGACAACATTTTATATATATCGCTTACATATTTTTAATGCAAATTTGAAGCAACTAAAAAAAAAACCAGTTTCAATTCCAAAACATATAAAACGTTTTGTACAACATGATTATAAATTATAGATGTAGAAGGGAGCTTCATATTATCTGTTCTTAATGAGTTATCAAGCAATCATATAGCCTCCGAGATTTGCAAGAATTAATTGTAAAATTCTTGTTCTTAATTGCAAATAACAGGAGACCCAATACACAAATTTGTTAAATTTAAATGTATAACATATGAGTGGAAACTTGACCATGATATTAAATAATAATACATTTTTCTGGCAAAATCATTGTTCATGTTTACTCTGCATTAAAACAGAAAACAGAAGTAACTGTTTAAAGTAATAATTATAAATTAAGGCCATTAACAGTGGACATATAATACTGTACTTGAATATTTCAGTTTATCTCTTAGATAAACTTGAAAAAATGAGCCAATGATAATAATTTAGTCAATTATAATTTTTAAAGTTTTAAATGAAATAAAAATATCTCAATTTTATATACTTTCTTAACACATCATGTACTTGGTATCATTTCCTGTTCAGTATCACATGAACCTATCCATAATATGGGCCCTGATTTTGAAACAAATATTACTGGAAATTTCTTTAGTAACATGTATGTACTTAATTATATATTATGTCTATGATACTTATCCACATTTTTTTGAAGGAAAAATAGTTAAAAATTGTTGGTACTCAAGTTGCATTCAAGATTTTAAGGTAGAATTAAAGAGCTTTAATATAAATCTTATCAACCAGAAGAACATTTATTACTTTCTTCTAACAAAAATGACCTTGACATTATTGTTAGTTTTATAATGCAAAATCTTAGACATTTTTGGTGGCTACAAACTCATAAAAGATGCGAATTTTCTTTCATTTAATGTGAGACCAAACTTTTGTTAAATTTCTCAAATAAATTATGAAAACAAATAATTAAACTTTGAAAACATTGTGTGACTATAATTATAATCGTGAAATCACTGGTATTTCTTTTTTAAAAAAGCAATAAATAGTCTAAAATAAATATTTCTTTGACAGTGCTGCATACATTTTGACAACTGTGTAAATTTTAATTTGAGACATGTCTCAAGACTCACCACTGGTCTCACTCATAGCAATGCTTATTGAGGACTGCTCAGAAATGTTTAGTTCAGAAATGATTGAATTTGCGTTTAAAGTTGGAGCTTTCCCTAATTCAGACTCTACTTTTCTTGCAAGTGAGCCAGTTATTCCTGGGTGAGGCTGACCTGAGTTTTGCCTCACATCATCCAAAGTCACAGAATTGGCTTCATCCCCAGGTGCTGTATCACCTGTAAGTGGAAGTGATGTCCTCTTGACTTTTTGAATTTGAGTCTCTTCATCATCACTACTACCTTGATCATCATCATCATCTCCACCAATCTGGATAGCTCCCTGGGTTTCTTTGATGTACCTACATACAGCATGCAACATTGATAACTCAGTAAATTGTTCAGATATTTTTAACAGACATTTTTAAAAAGAATTACTATTGATAAGTAGATAACCAATGGTAGAATAAGTGTGCAGATACATTTTCAAATAATTGAGTAGCTACTTCATTTGGAATACTTCTTTAAAAATATATAACTAAGGAATACTTACTCTACAATATCCTCATGGGTCAGTTTCTGAGTTATATATGGTACATCTTTCCATTTTTTGAAACAATCCAAGTTATCTGTAGAATTTTTGTAGAAGCCAAAGCTTTCAAGCCTCATGGCAAAGTAAGGAACACCACCATATTTGATCATTTGGCCTAGTTTGTGTCCACATGTTGTCCCTAATTTAGGCTGACCACGACAAAACACTGGCCCAACCATTTCCAACTCATCTACATATCGTTGTTTCATTGGAACACATTTGAGGATTTTGCCATTTAGAAGGTTCCTGGAAACAAAACAAAAATTAAAATCATGTTAAAAGCTGTTTAAATTTAATGAAAACTTGTGATTTCTTATTGAAAATATAACTTGTAATGCTTTAAATAAATACTTTAAATATTTTTAAGAAATTCATAAAAATTATTGTAATATTCACTAAAACTTTTGTATTTATGAGGTCAATTAAAACTATTTAAAATTTTATTTTATAACTTGTATATAAAAGTTTGTTTTTTTTAAAATTGATCTTATATTGTAATAACTTGTATTATCTATCATAAAAAAAACTAATTTAAATGATTTTTTTTCACATCTGAAAAATTTAATAGCCTGAGCATCACATTGTGCAGTTTAAACATTTTTTTTTTAAAGTTAAAATTAGTGTTTCCGGTAAATTGGCTCAAGGAGAACCTCTAAAGAGCCAGCAATAAAAGCAGATTTTCATATACAGAATCTCATTAGTATTACATAGTAACAAATATTAATTCAAAATTAAGAGAAAAATGCAAAATAATGTATGCAGAAAATATATATTTAAAATTTAATAAAGATTGACCACACAATTTCTCATTTCGATTGAAGTTAAATACCATACATTTAATTTAAACCTTCACCCTTGAACCCTTACTAAACACTATGATGGTTCCGTAATCTCTCTTGTGTTTTTTTAAATCTAAAAGTTGAGCCCAGCTAAGTAAACACACCTGTCAATGGATACTCTAAACTTGTCAAATATTGTCCTTATGTTCCTCTTCTCAATACAAACTTTCCTACACAAAGGACAAACCTGAAATAAGAATTAAAGGAGAAATAATGATTTTTTCATAATCATAATTCTATTGCCTGCAAACTTTATGAGGTGTAATTTTTTTTGGATATCATATGACAAAACTCTAAATCCAAGCGACAACTATCATCTGATTAACAGATTTACATGACTATCTGGGAATTAACTGTCTTAACAATCTAATAATTTCAATTTAATAATATAAATTTTCATATGAGCCTACCATTGAAAAATCAACATCTCTTAATTTCTGCCTCCTGTTTGCGGCTAGAGCTTCTTCAATCTCAGCTGTTTGCATGATTTCTTTTTGATAATTGTCAATGAATTCCTGCTTTTCTTTTAAATCCATTTCATTAATTTTTTTAAAGGCTTTTTTCATAACTTTTGCTTTTTCACGATTGACATATTCCCGCCTTAAGACATCGTCCATAGCTAGGAGAATTGAAACACCACCATGCTTCCTGCTTCTTCCTTAAATAGAAAATGGAAGCTCCCATTGTAATGATGGTTAAAGCATAAACAAAGGTGAAAAAGCATGTGACATAGAGTCACTCCTAAATGTCTCTTGTCATTTATATACTGAAAGTTGTCCTTGTTATGTTTCTTGGCATTTTTAAATTTAAAAATAATGAATATGATATTTAAAAAAAATTTCATTTGTGACTTTAAGAGATAAATAAACAGTAATGATCTTGCAGAGCAAGTGAGGGAAAACCAAAGAAGTGTTTTTAAAAGCCAAAAATAAAACCCCACCTCAGAATAGTCACAGCAAGTAATTTACGACTATAAAACAACATAATGAATGGCTAGCCTTGAGTTTTCTAATATTTTATCTAGTTAGTATTTTAAAGTGACTACCATTCCCATCTTACAATATTTTTAAAAACAAGTTATTTATATAAACTAAATGTGATACAAACGAATTCTGAAACATTTACAACCTTTTGTCTGGACAGTAGTGATTTCATTGCCAACATGATTGTATTTAATTACAAGATTGCAGTCAGGAATGTCAAGGCCTTCTTCAGCAACAGAGGTAGCTACTAGGACTTTGATGTCACCTGACCTAAATCGTTTAATCACTTCTTCTTGTTTAACTGAGGACATGCCTGAAATAGCGGTTTACTAATAGTAGTTTCAAATATTTAATAATAGATTCATCAATCTAATAGCAGATACATCAATCTTATAATAGATTTATCAATCTAATAGCAGATTCATCAATCTAATAATAGATTCATCAATTTAATAGCAAATTCATCAATCTAATAATTGATTCATCAATCGAATAGTAGATTCATCAATGTAATAATTTGATTCATCAATCTAACAGCAGATGCATCAATATAATAATAGATTCAACAATCTTATTAGTAGATTCAACAATCTAATAGATACAACATTCTTCTACTAAGTAATTTAAGATGCAACAATCTAATCTAACCAACGGTGATCCCTCATAACTAACAAAAGTTGTCAGAAATTCACTTGAATGATTCACTTTTACCTTTGCAAGACAGTTTCTTGCATTCAATTTAGTTCAACAAAATAGTAAAACAAAAATTGTTCTGGAACAACATAATCATGTAGTGATTGCATTTTTAATCAGGAAAAATGAACTACAAATGTTAAAATATTTAAAATCACTAAAAGTAGAAACTGTTAAATGCTATAAATTCAGATATGATACAAAAAGAACTGGGCTGATAAATGATAAAATATAACAAAACACTATTTTCATCTTAAAGATCTTACTTTGTTTACTAAAATAAACTATTACAAATGACAAAAATAGCATTGAGTCTAAAGGGAACCGGGTCTGAATAGCGGCGCTGCGTGTCCGGGTCCATTTTGACTAAATGCTATTCGGATGTCATTTGTTGTAATTCATTTTAGTTAAAATTAAGAAGTAAGTTTACAAAAATATAGTCAATTATCTTTCATTTGATACCTAATTATGTCTTACAAGCCCCGCAATAATTTTTAAAGAATTTTTAATAAACTCAAACTCTCACTTCTCGGACCCGGGTCCGAATAGCGACAGCCTATAAATATTGTACTGACAGCTCCTGATTATAAGCCAAAGTTGTACTTCCTGTTGTTTGCATATATCAGTATGTAAACAAATTTAATTTTTTTAAAAACTTCACAAGTTTAAAGAGCGTGGTATAAAAGTACCTTTACATAAATATAAACGTTTATAATTTTAATATAGTTCTTGCTAAGGTTCAAACATGTGCAATCTATTCCAAATTATATTTCAACATATAAGCATAAATATTTGATGTCTTCTATTAACAACTCATGTCTTCTTAACATAATTTTGCCATTCATATATGATTTATAAAAATACCAGTTTTGAAAACCCATAAAAATTTATAGACCCTTTTACTTAACACTTTTTTGGTTCTTTTTGACTCTGATAAAACTTAGAAATATTTACAAAAAGTTATTTATATAAGTAAGTTGTTGTTTTTCATTGTTTTTTTTATTTGCGATTAATATGCAACATGATGTTAGTAGGGAGTTAAATATGTCACCCGATGTTAGCAGTGAGTTCAGTATGTCATGAAATGTTAGCTGTGCTTTTTTGTGATGAAAAGGTTTTTTTTAAAAATTCATTTACTCATTAAATAGTTAACCCCCAAAATGTTTTAAATAAAAAAAAAATAAATTGCTATTTAGCAACATAAAGAAATAATTGCATAACAAAAGCAAGTCAAGCAGAGCCGTGGCTTGACTTTTGAGGCCCCCTGTCGTAGGGGTTCCTGGGCTCACATGTTGGTTCTAAGGTTAATTGACACCTACATTTTTTAACTAGCATCTCCTCCGTTGCTCTCCAATTAAGTGTAGAAGGTTGCAATAGATGTACTAGGTAATATACTAAATACTAATAAATCTTCTTCTTATTTGAGGGCCCACAATCAATTTATTGATCATTCTGGCTCCTGGTTTGAATTCAGAGTTTGCCTTCTCTTACATAAGTTGCCATCCAAGGCTAACGGGTCCCATCCACCGGAGTGCTTGGGATGTTGGCTTTGGTGGAAATTGAACTCCAGACCACCAGCTAATTGGTTTGAGTCAGTTTTGACCATTCAGCCACCCAGCACCAATATATATAATAGGTATAATCCAAAATGCACCTCTTGATTTTGAAATAAAATCAAAAAATTTCTGCCAAATTGGATGCTACCACTACCTCAGGATGGGGAAAATTGGATGGGACAGCTTAATGGTAAAATTTTAAGAAAATATAATTACCTCCTTCCTCCTCTTTTGCATTTGTCCCAGTAAAAATATGTGCATTGAGTTTTTCCAGAAGTGAAAAGCCGCATCTATTAAGCCAAGAGGCTAGAGCTTCTGCTAGAGCTCGAGTCTTGACAAAGATAATACCACGAGACTCTTTCCCCTTTTTAACAAGATTATCCACTAGGGTTTCAGCCAAAATAATTAAATTAGGATTTTCATCACTATGTCTTCTCTTGACAACCTGCTCTAAATCTGAAATATTCCGAAAAAAATTGGTAATCAGTTATCACCTACCAAGTTAAAAAAATTATGACGTAAGAATGAACAACCTTCTTTACTCTTTACCGTCTTAAAAGGGAGAAGCATGCACTTCATGCTATGGTCATACTCCATTTAACTTAAATTCTCATAAACTACGAAACTCTGTAAAACAAACATAATATACAAAATTATATGAAAGGGAGTCAATCACCTTCAAAATAACCATAGAACGTTTTCTCTTCATTTGGTTCTCCATCTTTATTTCTGTATTTTTCAAAACGTTTTCTCAAATAGACCATAACATCTTTCAACTCAACAAGGTCATGTGTCTCTATGGCCACACTGTATGCCTGAAATATTGTCAATATGTATTAATAAATATCCAACCCTTATCTGATTAATTTAAAGTCTGTTTTTTAATTTAAAACAGCACTATCATGGAATTAGATTTTGCTATTTCATACATTTACCACTAAAATAACTCAATGTAAAAAATATTTTGGGCTTTCGAAGGAGATACTATCCATATTCAAATCTCCAAGATATCTATTGTAAAGTATATTCTATAACTCTTAGACTGCATAACAATAATTTATGAACAAATAATCTATCAGTGGTCAATGATTAATTCAGAATTTTTACCAAAACTTCTCAAAACTGTTATTTAAAGTATATCTTATACTTTATGCAGAAATTCAGTGTTTTGATTTTATTATTTTGTTGAAATAAATTAAAAATTAAATAAATAAAAACAAATTCACTGACCCATAAATAATCTGTAGCTATCATTAAAGTTCGAACTGGTGAGTTGGTTTCTCTGGATTTGTCAATTATAGGCACAGACTTGGCAGCATTTTTTAAATCAACAGCCCACTGACCATATTCTTGGCTCTTTTTATTCCTTGGTATGTTTTCAGTTTTTTTTTTAGTTTCTGGATGACCAATCGCTTAAAAGAAAAAGATGAAAAAGGTTTCATTGACTACAAATGTTCTTAATTATTCAAGAGCTTTTTGGCTTTTTTTTTAATGTTTTTTTTTTTCCAATTTCCAAATCCAATATTTTTTCTCTCAATGTAGTATCATAAAAATTTTTTTCAGATTCTGGAAACTAGATTTTATAATTTTGTTTCTTTAATTTAAAAAAAAATATGGAAAAACACCCTTTTAAATAATTAAAAACATAAGAATCAGCTGCCTTGACTAAGCTGACACACAAAAACATAAAATAAAGAGATAGTTCTCATGAAAAATAGGAACAAAATAAAATACAAATATAGTTTTGTTCATACTTGGAATTAAGTTAAATTTTAAAACACAAAGTTGAGGATATTAAGTGTGGGTAGATCTAGGTGTTTCAAATGTGAGAACATATAGAATGTGGATGATTTTTTTTTTTAATGTGTTGAAATAGAAACTATCATTCAAGACAACTATCAAAACATTATGAAAAAGAGGATAAAAATGTCAAACTATTTAGGAACCAAACTATTTCAATTAATTTTATTACAATTGTACCTTGCCCAGCATGTTTGATGTGATCCTCCATCTTGTTCATAATTTCTATCACTTTATTTAATGAATCATCCTCCTCCCGTTCTTTGAGCTGAATGTCTTCTAAAGTATTGAAGAAATTTTATTTTTTTTTACTTGGGTAACATCCAGTAAATTTAATTTAAATTAGCAAAATATTATTAAAATTTTTGGGTTTTTTTGGTAATTGAAGCCATTTATTTATTTTACTAGGAAGTCCTAGAAAAGACTGACAGAGTTACAAAAGGATTTACTTTCTTCAGGCACAGGCACAAGTTCCCGCAACTCAGACTCATTTTTTATTACAGTTGATAAGTTAGGGGCATCCAGATTTCCACAAATTTTAAGGATGCTTTCAGTTGCCTCTTTGACAGTTCTAGCTTTTTCAATGCCAATTGAGGCTGACATACCAATAATCTGTAACACAATTTAAAATTAGTTTAATTATGTAACAATATTTCATAAAATACTTTTACTATAATTTGGGGAGCTAATGTATTTATTTTATTTTTCACTTTACATTATAGTTCATGTATTGTCCAGCTTAAAGTACTGATAGACAAAGCTTTATTTTATATACTAGATTTTTAAAAATTGAAATAGTTAATGCTCATAAAACTTTAAAAAAATGGAACCTTACTTGAGGCAAATTAGCTTTTGTAAATGGATTGCCTTTGTATTTCGCCTTCAGATAAAAAAACATCAGCCTGTTGTAGGGCTCATCTTTCCTCGTATGGTGGCACTCATCAAATATCAGCAAAGAAAAATGGCGCAAGCGGAGAGTTTTACTTTCAAGGTGGTTGACAAGGATCATAGGGGTCATGACTATTACATCAAATTTGTTCAGGATGAGTTTCAGATTTAAACTTTCGTTAGTGCTTCCTATGATGTGTGTGATCTAAAGGAGAAATTGCAACAATTAAAAATAAACTTTAAGTACCACATTTTTATAAAGTTCGAATTAGAGTCTGACCGAAAGTGATTTTCTGATCTTGGGCAGAAACCAAAACCAGGCCGAAAGTTAAAAATGACTTTCGGCTGAATATGAAACCAAAAGCTGAACAAGACTTTCGGCCGAAGCCAAAGCCAAAGCTTAACAAGACTTTCGGCTGAAACCGAAAGATTTAGGTATTTTGAAATTCGTTCAAGCATACATTCTGCATACATCGAAAAATGATGGGGGAAAGTATCAATATTTACCTTCTTTTTATTAAAAAAAATGAGATCACTGTGAATATCAATAAATTTCTAATGAATACTTTGGCTTTTACCATTTAAAAAAAAAATTAATTTAAACTCCTTAAAAAGGTTTTTAAAGTAGTATGGTAAGAGACCATTGAGTGTCTTTTGCTTTTATAATATAATTACAATAAGAACATATATCTACAATAACTATTATGGCGCTAATAAAGCCATTTGTCACCTAAATATCAGTTATTAAGGCTATATAAATATCACCACAATATTTCGCAGTTATCATCATACTTATACTTTGTGTTTTCATAAATAGCTGGGTAGATATTGATGTATTAATATTTAGCATAGTACCAAGACATTAGTCTTTCCGTGCTGGTGACATAATTATTTCGTTCAGCGACCAACCTCCCCTAATCTCATTGGTTTGGGGGGGGGGGGTGGGGAGATGTTTTTTTAACCAGGTCCCTTAAAATTGTTGTTCTGTCATGTCTTGGAGGAGAATCGCAAAAGACATCTAAAATCTTACATTGGTCGCCAAAATAATAAAAGTAAACTGGTCTGCAGTGGGCCAACAGCATAATTATTCTGTGATACATGCACATGCATGTTGTTTTGTCAATAACAATGTTTATGAGAATGATAATGAAGAATTTCAAGAAATGAATGAATTGAAAAAGCCTAAGTTTCCCTAATTTTTATTTTTAAAAAAAATAAAACAAAAACAATAATTCCCTAGGATTATTCAGTATTATTCACCTTTGCATATGACAACATTGATGAGCATGATAGTGGTAAATCAAAATGAATATCACAAATAAATGAATTTAAATAAACCAAGGGTTATTTGTGTTGGAAAAAACATATAACAAAAATTATGATATAAATATTGCCATTCCATAAAACTATTTACATTTGCCTAGGCCTAATTGAAATTTAATTTTTTAAAAATAAAGGACTAGTAGGAGGGAGCAGTTTTCGCAAAGTATTAATCATATAACATATGATGATAGAAAGATGTCGAGCAGTAATGAATATCGGATTACCGACCTAGAGAAAGACAGACAATCTGACCTCTGCTAGATGGCCGAAAGTCTCAATCTCTTTTGTCCGAAACTGAAATTAAACCGAAAGTTAACTTTTCTGTTTCAACCAAAACAGAAATTAAACCGAAAGTTAACTTTTCTGTTTTGGCCAAAACCGAAACTAGGTCGAAAGTGATCAAATGACAACTTTCGATGATGAAACCGAAGCCAAAATTCTGTCGGTCTCTAGTTCGATTAATATAATGAAATTTGTGCATGTCATGTTATAATATTAACTTGCAATTTGTTAAAAATGTGATGGGTGTTCATGAGTTGCATGGGGATGAATTGAAAATTTATATTTTGAATCCTGCTACTGCTTATATTGAACTTCTATTAAAGGACTAAAAACTTACAATTAAAAGATTTTAAAAAATAGTATCTTACTTTGTAATCTTTATTAAATGCCTTTCTCAAGACTTTTCCCTGTTGTACAGTTAATGGTACAGTTCTTGCAAGAAAAGCTATTGTCTTCTTTTTTGCGACTGTACCTATATATACATTTTTTAAAATAATAACAAAAGTTAAATCACTTTTTCTATTCATAGCAAACTACAATGGTACGGCCACGTAACAAGGAAACAAGGGCTTGCCAAAGAAATATTGCAGGGCACCACAAGAGGAGGGAGACGAAGAGGAAGACAAGGAAAAAGATGGGAGGATAACATCAAAGACTGGACAGGACTAACACTGGGCGATGCAGTGCGTCGTGCTGAAGACAGAGAGGAATGGAGGAGGATGGTTCACATGTCATCTGTGGCGCCCCAACAGTCCAAGGACTAAGGGATACGAGGATGTTGCAAATAGTTGATATTAAAAAACAAAACTTTTATTAGACTAGAACTATGTTTTTAAACCAGGGTACAGCCATGCCCAAATTGAAGTCTGAAAAATAAACAAACCAACATCTAGTTTGATTAAAGTTTATTTGACATAAACACATCATAGGAAAGTGATTTTAAAGTTTTAATTTTTTTTAATAATTACCAAAAATTAACTTCTTTGGAATAAAACCCATTAAATTTTACATTTCAGGGCATCTAAGAGTGCAAAAACATTGATCTAAGACCATTCAAAAATAAAGTTAAAAGAGGATTATAATTTGTACAAATTATAAAGCAAAAAATTATTATGGGTGAAGTCACACCAAAACAAGCTAGAATTTTAAATCTTATGTTCGTAGGTAGTCTTGATAAAATTATTATTCAAGTCTTAGATTTTTTCTTGACATAGGAGATATAAATATTTTGTTTCATTATCGTATTAAGGAGGAGAGACTGTAATAAGGTTTGCAAAAAAGGAAATGAGTAAAACAAAATATGGGAAAACTTGAAAAAAGGAACGCAACAAACTAACAAACGTTTCAGCAGGAAGCCTTTGTCAGCAAACAAACAACAGAAGAAAAAAAAACAGAATTAAATTAAAAAATAATACTTATCTAATAATAATACTAATCTCTCACCCACTTATTTTCTGTAACAATTCTTTTGCTGCCCTCTTGGATACTACTTTTCAGCTAAGTGCTATTTTTTAATTTAATTCTCTTTTTTCTGTTGTTACACTCATTTCCTTTTTTCTGTCATTATGTGTCTTTAAAAAAAGGGGATGTCTGGAAATTAACTATTCTAGGACATGTTGATAAGACAGGAATGGGAACTAGGAGTAAAATATTCACCATATCTCTCACAGAAATATTCTCCATGGTAAAAAAAAACATGTTTCGCTTGTTTGAATATGAAAATGTCTTTTATTTTACATTAATAGTAATAGAAGAGAAGATTCATTTTTTTATAAGTCATAAGTGAACTCAGACTTAAACACTGAACTAATTCTGTTTTTTATTCTGGTTGCATCCAGGACTTAAGTTTAAAACGAATCTTTTCTTTTTTGAATATGAATACTTTTAAACAATTTGGTTATTTCACTTAATTTGTGTGACTTGGGATTATCAAGATTCATAAATATTAAATATGGAAACAGTAGTAAAGACTGTGAAATAAGAGTTCACTTATCCTGAATAAAACATTAAAACAAAAGAATAACCAACCCTAATAATTGTTCCATTTTGGAACATCAATTAGAACAAACACATTTTTAATCAGTTTGTCTTTTCAAATATATGATTCATATTTATTTCCATGACAAATAATTAAATAGCAGAAACCACAATTAAATGTATTTAAGATATAATCTTTCTAATTGATACTGTGTGAAAAAGTTTTTTAAAATAAATAATGTGCTGTTAAGATAATGGTAAAAGATAATGGTAAGAAAGACTGAAGGTTAAATAACAGACAAAAAATCTTTTGTTTTTTCCCTGATATAACTATTTTATGAAGCATTTAAACCAATTATATATATAAAATATGACATACTTTTTAACTAATATATTTAACTTTTAAAAAAATCCTTTGACTTTTACTAAGTTGCTAATTTTTGTCAATATCATATAATTTTTTTAATTATCAACTAATTGTACATAATCAGAAGTTGAATGAAATAGCCCCGGTGCCAAGGAGATGTCTACACACAGCAGAGTTTGTTTCTTACTGAGTATCTGGCTCGTCATTTCAGTCGAATACATGACACAATCAAGCTCTTGTGAGGGTTGTGAAAGATGTGAAGATTGTGAATGAATTAGATTTACAAGTTTTCTTGTAGTATTTGAATTGTATCTCTATTGCTAATGAGATCATGTTCTTAGTTTTTCTATTTTTTATTATATTAAATCCATATTTACCTTCACGCCTCTTTTTTAGATGCTCAAGTATAATATGAGTGGCCACCCTGGTCTTACCAGACCCTGTTGGTGCACAAATGATGGTGTTTAATCCTTGTAAAGCTATTTCTGCCAGCTCCTTCTGGTATTCCCTCAGTTCCAGAGGTGGTGCTTCAGTCAGTTGCCTGATTTTATCGACATCTTCAGCTTCTAGAATCAAAAAAGAAAATAAATCAATTGAAAATTTCTATTTTAAAATGTACACCAAATAACTATATATACAGAGTCCACCTTAAAAATGTATACACACTTCAGAAAGAGAAAAACTTGTATAAATATTTTCACACATTTTTTTTGTTGATTGTAAATATGTTTTGAAGAAGCCCTAAAAATTAATCACAGTAAAATGAAGGCAGTTGTGTAAATCTGCATTCAAGAAGTCAATTTTTCTCATATTATAAAAAAATAACTAGAAACTAAGGAAATTTCAGCTTCATTGGTTCTTTAAATAACAAAAGAAGCATTCTCAAACTAATTATACAAAATTTCCAATGCAACCAGCTTCCTTAAGAAAGAGAAATTTTTGTACAGGTTGTGACTGAATATCTTTAAGTTACTGAAAGGGTCAGCTAAATGATTCAAGTAAAGCTCTTTTGGCTCAAATAAAGGTGAGCTCAAGATTTTTTTTAACTAGAGTGTAGCAATTAGTTACAAAGTTCAACTAAAAGATTTCAAAAATGTCATATGTTTTTAATGACATTCTGACGTTATTATATATATGCTACCAGATTAAAATAGTTTGCACTTTGATATCTTATATTAAAAATGGATGTTTACATGTCAGAATAACATTATTACCTCCATCACTCATATCTTCTGATGAAGACTCAGTTTCTCCACCATTGGTCTTCTGATTTGACTCATCTTTGATTATATCTTGGTCAATGAATTTATTTACTATCATTTCTTTATATACATTACTCTCTTTCAACTCCTTATTAGTGATATCCCTCTTATTACCTGGAATTAAAGATATTAGACAAAAATATGATAAGGAAACCTATAATAATAGTGTTTAACACATATTATTTAGAATGACATAGTTTTGAAAGAATTATAACATGTGAAGGAAGTTAATAGTGTACAATACTGTGTTTAGGTAATTTTCTATTTTGAAATGTTACATTTATAGCTTTCCATCTAATTATATAATACATTTGCTAAAGTTCGCTAAAATTAACTTGTGGATCAAACATGTTTTAACAAGTTAATATTCATATTTTGCCAATTATATTCTTTAAAAAAATGATTACATTAAATACTGACCAGAGCTGTTACGTGTTTTTATATAGTCAGTTGATAATTCGATTGATAATACCGATACATCGCTCATTATACTTGGAGGACTAGAAAAACCTCTAGGCGTGTGTGCTTCAGATTCAATAGGTGGTTTAGGGATCAGTGGTTCATCATATTTTACTGCAGCTCCTTCAGCTTCAGGTTCTTTTACTTCTTCACTCAAAGTACTTTCAAAAACTTTGGTCTGTACTTTTCTTTGTTTTGCATCTAACAAAAACATGACAATAGTAGTAAAAGGAAATATGAAACAAACTTTCACTGATCAAGTTGAAATTTAATTTTGGGTATGCACTTTAGAAAAATAATAAATGTTACAGAAATAATCAAATCTTCTCACCGCCATTAAACCCAACTAATTAGAATCACTTAAATTTTATCATAATTGGTCCATTTATCAAACTTTTTAAAACATTTTAAATAATTGTGATATATTATTTCAAACCTGAAATTTATAGAAATTTACAATTGATTCATACACATACTCATCTGGGACTTATTTATTTTTTAAAACTTGTTCAACTAAACCTAAGAGAAATACAGGGAGGCCTGAATGCAGGTTAAAGCAATAAGAAATATATGCAGGGTAGAGGAAAACCAGATGGATAATACAAAAAAGTGGATGTTTGGCTAAGTAACCTTCGACAGTGTCAAGTATGAGTATTCACTCACAAGTAATTGTTGAACATAGAATATTGTATTTTAATATGTGCGGTGTGTTTAATGGATAGTTTAGGTAATTAATGCTTTTCCCGCCATTAAATTGGAGATTTATAATTATTGTAATTATGACATAGTATATAGTCTGTCATGGTGTACGTGCATTTTTGTTCAGCGGCCGATGAAAGAACTTTATAGTGAATGGTTGCGCATTATTCTCCTTCTTATGGTGAACTGTGTTATACTGGTACACGTCTTTGATTCAATGTACAGCCTGTTAGATATGTTTCTGGATTAAAGTTTACATTGATAATGGAAAAGGATGTGTTCAATTCAGTGTGACTATGATGTATGAACGTATAATAGAATTTGATGAAAGAAACCAATCAAATACAAATAGGTGAATAAAGAAAACAAAACTATATAGACAATCAAACTAGCAAGCCACCTGATGGAACATTTCTGATCTCCAAATCTGTTTGATTATTATTTTTAGAATCTCCATCCTCTGATGGTGGAATGCCGTTATTTATAGACAGTTGAAGCAAACTTGGGCGTCTTAAACTCACGGCATTGAGAAACACAAAAGGCCAGTCAGGATTTCGATCCTTAACTGACCTAAACATTTCATAGCAGAACTCAAAGTTATCCCTTCTGCTCTTGCATCGCTTTCTGTCTCTCTGTAATTGACAAAATTTAATTGTATGAACACACAAACGTTAAATGAAAATGTAACATTTACAAATTTAGGTAAACATTAAAAAAGTGTGGTTATTGGTTGTAGAAAATTTTGCAAAATAAGGTCAACAAAAATGAAAGTCTTCTATAATAATTAACAAAGAGATTAAAATGCCTTGGATAACTCGGTTTTTATTCATTTTCCCAAACTATGGAAATTTCATACAATCCTTTTTTTCCCCCAGTTCATTAAAAAGATGCAGAGTGTGTGTATGAGAAAGAAGTAAGTTCTAATTATATAAAAAGTAATCATTAATAAAAATATTTACATAGTAATATAATTTAAGTTAAAAATACAACTGTTCAAAGAAAATTTAACTAGTAAAATATAAAATGTACTATTTATAGCTCACAAAACATTGGTGACAGCAATGCATGAGCTACTAGTTACTTGACAATACATGAACTCAAGTAACGCACATTTAAAAATCCCAATTTTTGACACACCCCTTCCCCCATGATATGTCACTGCACACTTTTTATTTCATGCCCATGAACTATATTAATATGCTGATGTCCCAACCACTTAAACCGAATATTTATTACACCATATTTAAATTGAGATGATTTCATTTTCCTATGCACCAAACGCAGCTGTGCTATTTTTAAAATAATATTTAGCTAAGTTATCGTGAATTATATTTTGCACGCTATCCGGAAATGGAAGTAGTCAAACCACAAGTAACTATATATAAGAGATTTGTAAAAATGTCAAAAATGCCTTACTTCAAGGACAAGTTTATGAGCAGCCATATGATCAAAGATATTATGCAAGTCATCTGTAGTAAGTTTCCTAATCAAACTGCCATCAATCATGCCAATCAGGTATGGCAAATATTCATTGACAAACAAGTCAGTACCAGCTGGACCACTGACAGTGGCCTGGATAAAAACTGATGAATTCTCTAAAATAATGAAAGATAAGTACAGTTTAAAAAAATAATGCCAAAATAAGTTAATTCAAAACATCCTTGTGATTTCATCCTGAAATGGGCATGGATTATCTCTTGTAATATAATTAAATCTGTCATTAGAGAAGTCTCTAAATTTTTTTTAATGAATTAATTAACAATTTAGGGGATGAAGTGTGCTGTGTAGAGTCTTTTTCCTTTAATATTTTTATGTAATTAGTTTAGGCCAGTAAGTTTGGAAAACCAAATTGACATATTGAATAAATGAACGGATTAATTTGCTGCACTAAGTGTTGCAAATGTTTGAGTAGCAATTAATGATTATGATTTGCATCAGTGTACGCAAAATAGAATTGTTTTTGTTTTTTTAACATAAGAAAGTAAAAATTTTACTTGATTCTTTGCCTATGTCTCTTAAGGCTTCAACAAATGCACTAATAAGTTCATTGTTCTCATCACTCTCCAGAATCCAGGTAAGTAAGTCTTCGGCTGATTCTTGTCTTTCTTTGAGCGCTGTTACTACGTGGGATACTTGTGTATGCCCTAAACATATTTCAAATAAGAGGATAAGTGACAGAGCATTATTTATAAGTGTAACACATAGAAATCTTTATTTTACTTTTATATTTATAAACTTTTTATTTTAACTTCTAATTTAATGGCATCATTAACCAATAACCTAGGTAACTTTATGATTAGGAATGTTGGTTTCATGACTGGTATCCCTAGTATCACTATAGCTGAAAACAAAATCCTAATTTACAAATGTAATCATTACAAAATATTCTAGAAGTTACGCTTCTCTTTTAGTGTTATCTCTATGAGCTTAAGTGTGTCTAAAAATTGAAAAGCTTTATATTATTAGTACTAGCTTGTCATGGACATTTAAAATAAATTTAGTTTGGATTCTTTTTGGTTTTTATAGTTAAGTTGAAGGCTGTCCAAACTGAAGTTAGCTCATTTTATGTTTTAAAACTGTGTCCAAGTCACACATGAAGACTTTATAAAATCTAGGTACTCCTATTTTAAGTTGATATTGCAAAACAGAAAAAAACCTTTATTTATACTAACAACTAATTTATTACATTATGAAAGTATTATAATAATAGATGAACAATAAATGAAACTATAACTTTTCCACATTCTAATTCTAAGTATAATAAAGTATGAGGAACTCCTGGATAAAGTTATATTTTATAAAAACAGCTTTGCTAGTGCCTCGCTGGCCAAAAATAACCTGCCGGGTAAAAAAAACATTTAATTAATTATTGCATCTGTTCTATTTGAACAAAGCGTAATCCTTCAATTATCTGTTACTAAGACATATTTACATAAGGGAGTATCATGAATAGATATTCTAGATAAAAGTAATCCTATTTTCTGTCCTGTCAAAAAGCTAATTTTAATGTAACTGGAGTTTGTTTAACTTTTAGTAAAATATAATCTATAGTTACTCACCAAGAGAAATAAATTTTTGTTTTATGGCTGCTGGTTGTAAAAAAGCTAATTTTAATGTAACTGGAGTTTGTTTAACTTTTAGTAAAATATAATCTATAGTTACTCACCTAGAGAAATAAATTTTTGTTTTATGGCTGCTGGTTGTAAATATTTGATGAGTGTTTGTTTAATGCATTCCGTAATAGCTGCCATATCTTCTGGACTATTTTGATCCATTTCTGACATTTTATCTGCTTCTATTTTTCCACATACAGGTCATAAAAATTCTAGTTTTGCTGTCAAATAAATGAACCGTTTCTTCACTGCTGAGAGAGAAAAAAAATAAATAAATATAATTTATAATATTTTTGAGGAAGAATGCATTTCTCTTAAGTTGTCCTTAATATTTATATATTTTTACTTAATGAGCTTAACAAAATAGTTCAATAAATTTTTATCAAATGAGTTTTTAATTAATAGTTGCTAACTCATTATGCCACAATTTGTTCATATACTTAAAATAAAATACAACGAAGCATCAATTTTCCGAACTAATTGGGACTGGGGCTATTTCAGATTGAAAAAATTTTAATAAACCAAACACTACCATGGATGGGTTGCACTAAAGAATTTAGTGCAAAAAAACACAAAATATTCTTTCCTTACTATTATATAATTACAGTACTTTATTGCAGCATTTCGTAACATATTTTGCTTGAGGCCCCTTTCCTGTTATCAATAATTTTTTTTTAAAACTTATAAAAATGTTAAGTCCTTTCATTTTCAAAATTTTTGAGGAATCCAAGAAATGTGGCCCCCTGGAGGACCATATAGCCCACATTGAGAAAAACTGTTTTAATGTTCATTGTAAGTAGCCTTTGTATAAGTGAAGGGTCATCTTATTTGTATAAAAACCTGTGAGTTCTGGAAATTTTAATTTTTTTTGCTAATGTTAGTTTCCAAAAATAGATAGACTGAATTAAATCCAAGGTCACTTTGCTTTCACAAATGCTCTATGCCCTGCACATTGCGTATGATGATAAAAAAATAATAATAAAAAGACAATTTCTGTTTGTAAAACAGATTCTGTGGGTAATTGGTGTTCAAAAAATAGATGCCCTACTGCAGTAGAATTATGAAACTGATGATTATTCCTACTGCTTTTACCAGTACAGTAAAGGTTTTTTTTGTACTCCGGTCCTGGTGAGTCATGAGTTGTAACCAGTACAGTTAAAGACTTCCAAATAAAAAATGACTAATTTTTTTATAATATAGAGCCCATCTGATACCCAGGCATAAACAAATAACTCATCTAAAAATATATATATTGCATCCAAATTTGCATCACAATAATATTTTTTTCATAAGGGCACCTCACAGACAGAAGAGTTCTTTTAGTAGTTGTAATTTTCTGACACACATGTTGCCAAAGCAATTTTAAATGTTCTGGATTTTAAATTTGAAAAAAAAATGATCATCTATATAAGTACAACATTATAAACCCAGAATTATACTATAGTAGGGCAAAAAACGTTTTTTGTTTGTTTTTTCTATAATCAAATGAACTATTTTCATGCACCCTGTGACTCCAGGTTCTTTTGGAGAGACCAAAATTATAAATATTGAGCCCTGAAAAAACTAAACATTGAGCGAAAGTGAAGATGATTACAAATTAATATGAAATTCTATAGATGACAGCAATTTTTTGTTGCTTTAAAAAAGACCAAAGTGTTGATGGATACAACATACCAACTTATTCTCATTTTCACTAGCATAATTTATTTTTTTTAATGATTTTTTTTATTTAAAAAAAATTGCTTCACTTGAGTTCCCTGTTTGGAAGAAGAAGAGGTCAAGTTATCTTTAATGTGATTGAAGTTACCATAGTATTGCAAATGCATAGTGGCTTTGACAAGTGTATCTGCATTGTTTCTGGTGGCATGTGACGTTAAAAATACTTTTAGGCCTACTCTGAAGAAACGGTATTAAAAATACGTTGAACAAAGTGATGCAGTGAGAATTTATTACCAACAACATACTGGGTGACATGACATAGGGCACATTTGCATTGTAGCTTTCTACATTATTTTGATGATTACAGTGTTTTTAATAGGAAACTGAAAGAATGAAATGTTATGAATTAAGTGTTTGATCCTGAATTTCTAGCAGAGACGATAGAGACTCGTGGACAGTCATTTTGAAGTGATAGACACAGTGGTACTTGCCATAGTCAAAGATAAACCTAGAGATAGACAGTTAGACTTATGAATCCCAGTAAAATTATTATGGATAACAAAGACAGACCTACACATAAGCAGCATCAAACATTAAGTGCCATGTGGACTGAGAAGCCGGCTAAATTACAAAAGAAATCATTTGATGATGATGAGTGTAAGACATGTAACCTAACAACTGTGTCTACATCAAAAATAGTGACAAATGAGGAACAACAAGTTGAATAACAAACTAAAAGCAGTGACCTGACCATTTCAGACTCGCAGGAGTTTGAAGGTGCTACAGTGGTTCTCAGAGCTGTCTGCATCACTCAGATTTAAAAACTGAAATATCAACACATAATAATTTTATCTGTGATATAACAATCAACTATTTTGATTTGGGTCGTAATATTCAGTTGACATCTCAACTGTCAAATGTTTTAAAATATCATTTACTCACACACCCATACTGACCAATAGCTAGATACAATTTCATTAAGGACAGACCTGGCAAATAACGTTGTATTTGGTATGCCTGGTTTGATCAGTCCTCTCCATGGTTTGCCTATTTTAGTCATCTTAAAGGTTCAGTATGTATATTTTCTATTGTAACCGTGTACCATGTACCATTTATAGCAACATCTTTCACTGCATAAAATGACTTTCCTCAAGGTGCTCGTAATCATGTGAAATGTGAATCACATAAAGGTGCTCAGCAGGATGCAAAAGCATTCTTGAGCATCATTAGGAATTCAGACCAAGATATCCGATAAATCAGATAGACAAGTCTATTTCTAATAAGATTTTAGATTTCTAATAAGATTTCTAATAAGATTTGCCGATATTATCAACAGTTATTTTCTGCAGAGCACACGACATTCGTGGTAAAAATAGTGACAGTGGAAATGTTCATGATCAGTTTAGAGTGGAGGCTGGCAACAAAGACCTCTGGCAACAAAGACCTGGAGACATATTTGCAATAAATGCACGTTGCTAATACTAATTATGCTTCTCACTCATCCACAATCAACTGATAGAGATATGTGAGGAAGTAATAAAGAAACAAATTATTACATCAGCAAACAATTCTATAGGATTCTCAGTATTAGTAGATGAAACAGCTGATATATCAGGAACAGAACAATTGTTGTTGCTGGTATGTTTTGTAGACAAGGTAGGTAGAACATTTAAAGTGCGTAAAGAATTAATCGGATTCCAGCCATTGAAGCAAATGACAGTAGTTGCTATTGCAGATGCTATTATGAATCACTGCAATCAATTTGGTCTGGACATGACAAAATAACTTGGACAAGGATATGACGGCTGTTCCACAATGGCAGAAAAAGAAGGCGGTGTACAGACTAAAATGCGCACGATTTTTCCAAAAGCACCTTTTTTTCCTTGCTCTGTGCATAAACTAAATCTGGTGGTTAATGATTTGAATTCAGCTATTCACGTGCATAATGCCATTGGTACAATCAAAACTATCAAAATTTAGTTTTTCAAGAAAGCATAAAAACGAAGGTCATTAATACCTAACATTCCATTGTTAAGTTTAACTCAGTGGTCCGCAAAATATTTAAGCATTCATATTTTTCATGGAGAATTTCAAGATGATATGCAATCAGTTGCACAAAGTGGTAACCAATGACACTGGTAAAATGCTACCAGATGCTCGCCAGCAATTGTGTTCATGTTTTTCTTCTATGTTTCTTGTATGTCTTGTGATTATCTCTATATACTCAGCAATAGCTTTAGTTAACATTAAGATGAAGAGCCCTTGCATCTGTGGACTTGACTCTTGGGCTTTAGTTAACATTGAGATGAAGAGCCCTTGTATCTGTGTAGGACAATTATAATATCGTAGCAATCCTAAAAACTCAAATGACAAGAGTGAAGATATGTTCCATGTTTGTAAAAACTCAGTTTTAAAAAGTAGGCTACTAACAATAGGCCTACATAGTATAGCGACATAGACATAGGCCTACACTCTTTAGCTTTCATTTCATACATATATTTTATTATGAAAAAAAATGTACGAAGTTTGTTGCAACCCACCCCCCCCCCCCCCCCCCTTTTCTGAAAAATTCCTGTGGGCTCCATATTATGGGTGTCTTAAGTCTATGACTATGATTACTATGAACAAGTCCAAGACCAAGTTCCATGCCATACCTAAAAGTAAAGCCACTAAGCCCACTATGTGATTATATTATAAATTATATATTTTGTTGTTATTAAATCTCAAGCCCAAGCAGTAGCGGGATTCCAATTTTTTTTTTTTTTTTAAATATTGAAAGTAAAATGGGGTATTGGTATATTGAGTTAATTGAGGCCTACTCACCTCTCACCACTGACACTGCTATCAACATTCAGACAAAGTCAACACTGAATCAAATTCACACTGGCACTGAAGCTGTAGACTACACTGTTGAAGTTTGTAGTGCTTGCACTTTGCACTGATTCAGTGGAGTTTAGTTTGTTGTGATTAAAATTAAAACATTTATAATTTATAGTCCTTCTACACGATTCAGACGCTTCTACTTGACTAGTACTACGCTAGTAGAGTAACAATTATGTGTAAAACATTATTTGAAAAAGCTCAAGCCGTAAAACATTAAAAAGATTGCTCTACTCTACATTATACTTTTATAGTTTTACATATGAAATTGATTTCTAATCTTCTTTCAGTTTCTCTTTAAAAAAAATCCCGAACCTTTAGGGTTTCCCCGAATTCATGAAGGTGCCTGTTTGTGTTTTTTGTTTGTTTTTACAGCCTACTTGTGATACTTTGTTTCTGCTTTATATCGCGATACAGGATCAGACGCATACATTTCTGAAAGTTAATAAAGAGCTTCTCGAATTCCAGTAATTTCATATTTAATTGATTTGACACATTGAACGAATCTCAACTAATTGTAAGATTTGAAGGGTTCAAGGGAAAAACCAGTGATGTCAGTTTTTCAAAATTTATATGTTATCTCCCTTGTGGCTACATTCTATTTAATAGAATAATATGATACATAAGTCCAACTGAAAAAGCAGCGTAGTCAATAAATAAATACGTAGACATCTTGATATTTTCATACTTTTATGAGGAATTTTCAAACTTTAAATTCAATTTTCTCCAAACTCTCAAAACCTGATATCACTGGTTTTTCCCTTGAGCCCTTCATTTGTATTTATGTATGCACCATGAATAAATTACTAAGGTAATGCAAAGAGATATGATTAAATTACTTACCAAGTGGAATATATAAAACAAATAACGATTATAATCAATTTACTTTAGTATGTTATTTGTAATATACTTAACTAAACTTCGAAAATCGAGGGATCGCACTGAGTTTACTCAGTCCAGGGCGCTGAATATGCACTGTTCTGCATAGGCCCAAAGCCAGCCTTTAGCCTTAGGGTGTGCGACCTGTGCCATTGCACCAGGCGCCGTGGTCATAGGGGTGCCCGGGGAGCCCAATAAATATTTAAATTCCCTTAGTTTATTATAATATAGTGAAGTGTGAACCTCGGGTCCGGGTCGAGAAACGGTGTTCTTACTTTTCGTACAATGAGTTTTCATACAATGAACGTTTCCTTCTTAATTTGGATACTAACACTGGTTGAAACCAACCGAAAGGGCGTGGAAATAAATTTATTAATAGGGGAGAGTCGGGAGAAATGGGCCACCAAATGAACATCGGTCAAAGAATGCAGCTGGTGTTAACAAATAGAAAGGTATAAATAACTATAAAATTGGGCGTATTAATAGCCAGTTCAAATGTGCACTTAAAAACTTTATTTGCATTGTCATAAATTTGATATTTTATGTGAAATTTAAAAGAAACTGATGATTAAGTAGGTTGGGAGAAATGCTCATAACGAAGGGAGAAATGGACCACCATGTTATGTTGGGAGAAATGGTCCGCTAACTAAAAAGTGGTTAAAACAACTTAATATTTTTACCTATTTTCTATAAATTTTCTCTCTGTTGTGTTGTAATGCACTATACAATATGTAATGTTATTAAAAAAGATAAGCAAAACCATTTTACATGTTATTTTTATGAATATTTATTGAACATAACAAACAATGAAGAAAAAATGTAATTTGAGCAAAAGAAAAAACACAGATTTATTTAACATTTAAAGAACTCAGGTTTTCTTTAAAGAAAAAACTATCTTTAGTCCTACCTGTCCCAGTCTTTTGTAATTTTGTAAGGTTGCATTTTATGTCTTTAATAGGCACACAGGCAATGTCTTCTAAGTGTGGTCTTATAAATTTACCAGTCACTTTCTCTTAAAAATTCTACTTCCACATCCCCATTTTCATCCACTTCCTGCCTCACAACAGCCACATAAAACAACACTGACCTTTTTACACTATACTCACACAGCATACAATCATGTTTCATAACTTCTTCAACACCATTCATTTCAACACTATTAGTTGTCAAACTTTCACAGTATGAAATAAAGTCATCTAAATCATCATTGCTTATCAGGTCAAAGTCCATGTCATAGTCACTATTGTCACTTTCAAATAATTGCTTTGCCTGTAAATTAAGGGACATGACACCTTTTTGTCTTTAATCAGCTTATCTTGCTGCATTTTTTTTTATTTCAGGGGTTGATGTGGCAATCAATGATTGTCTTTTCTTTCTAGTATTATTTTTAATGGGTCCTGCTCTAGTGTAGCCTCGAAAAATATCAGGTGACCTAAACACTGATGGGTTGGGGTGTGAAGACTGGTGTAGTTGCAAGGGAGAAGATGATGTAGCTGGGGTACCTAAAGAAGAAGCAGCTAGAGACAATGTTTCAGTTGGATCTTGACTGTCTGTCATAGCACAAGGCATATCATAAAGTCTATATCTGTGTAAATGTCTTTACTAAGAGGCCAAATTCCGCTGGCTTGGAAACCAGAAAATATATTTGATGGGGTCGCTGCTTTGACGAAGGCCCCACCACCAAGTTCAGCAATTTGGTAAATTGTGATTGGTTCGCCTACGTTCCCAAGCATCCACGAATCAGCTGAAGCATTCAATGCACTTTTTAATGGTCCAAAAACTGATCTGTTCAGTGGCTGTGTTTTATTTGAGGTGTGTGGCGGCAATGTAACAATATAAATAAAGTTCTCTTAATAGCAAGTAACAATGCCTCATAGGATAGATGGCTTTCGTGATTGTCCATAATTAACTTAACAGGATATGTTGATGAAGGACGAACGTGCTTAACAAAATGTTTCAACACTAAAATGAAATTGTCAGATGTCATCCATCCAGATGAACTTGTAAATCCAAGTGTACCTTCTGGTGCTCCGTAAAGATAGCAGTCTCTTTCTTCCTTGGAAAAACAAAGACAGGAGGTAAGAATTGACCTGATGCACAAACTATCGCACACATGGTCACTAACTCACCTCTATCTCTAGAAGTCACTTGTCCAACCTGTTTCAAGCCTTTAGGGGCAAGAACTTTAGGAGCTCTTTGTACAGTAGTTAAGCCTGTCTCATCTAAATTGTAAATTTGTCCACCACACAAATTATTAGCAGAAATGGCTGCTTCTAGATTTTTTTTTAAATATCTCAATGTTGCATGGGTTAAAGGCGGTGGCTCTTGCCAGTGAAGTTGACACCGTTTGGCGCAGTGATAATTGAGGATGCCTCTGTCGAAAGCCATAAAGCCAATCTTTACCAGCAGCTTTCTTATTATCCCATGATTCATGTACTTTTATTTTGTTAACTACGGCCATCTCGTTGGCTAATAATTTCACACTGGCTAATGTCAGCCCATGAAACATTTTTGAGCGTGCTTCCAGGTAATCCGCAAACATAGTCTCTTGGTCAGCTTTGAATACCATGGCATGTTTGTAATTTGGTTGTAATTGGTCCGTAGGGACAGATTTTTTAGATTGTTATTCAAAGTTGTGTGCGATATTCCGAATTGTGTAGCAGCTGCACGTAACGACTTTCCACCTGTAATGGCATCAACTGCATTTCTCATAATTTCCAAGGGTATCTGACCCTTATCTGATTTTCCTGTGTAATTTCTCGGCATGATTCTGCAAGGAAAAGAAAAACGTTTTGCTATAATAAATCATTACTGACAGTGGCGTAGGTAGGGTTGGTGTCACCCGGTGCGGTAAACTCATGGTGTCAGCCCCCCCCCCCCCCCCCAAACTTCTATGATGGATTTTTTCTTGTTAAAATAATTCCACAGTATAACAATGACAAGAACAAAAACACATAAATCGAAGGTCATAAGGTCAATGTATTTGGAAAGTGTAACATCGTTAAGTTATAGTTATTTTTACATTAAATTTACTTTATTTAAAATGTTCCTTTCCTTGTCTTTAAAACTGCAAACCTGTCAATGACTTGATCAAAATCAATGTCCTTGAGTGTATCACTTTCATTTGATAGCAGAGCCACATCAGAAAGCCTTGACTGCCCCATGGTAGATCATAAATATTTCTTGATAAGCGTTAGTTTTTGAAAAGCTCTGCTCACATGAAGCCACACACACACATATCGTTAAAAAATTTAAAAGCTTAGCCAGAGTATTGAAAGAGATTCTTGGACGTCCAAATCAGCTATGAATTTCAAAATATTAAATACTGATAAGTCCATGACTTTGTGAAATTCAATATCGATGCCTGTAGATGTCTTTTAAGCCATGGTATTTCTTTTAAAAGGACATCTTCTGATAACTCATCATAGAAATGTGGTACTTTTTGGAACGAACACCAATAACTTTTCTTCACTTGCTGATATTAAACTCTTGTGTTGAACAGCCCCAAACAAATCTGCTACTTCCTTGATCACTGATGATCTGATCTTGAGTTCCGAATGAAAGCGATCAATACACTCCAGCATCTCCCTACTGTTTTCTTCTCGCAGAAAGAGTCCAGCATCTATTAATTGTTCTCTTGCCTCTCCCTTCTTAAACCTTAATCTTCTCTCTACCGAAATTCCATATTGGTCTGATTTGAAAAGTTTCTTTTCAATAGCATGTTCCACCAAGAACCTCAAGAAGATCATCCCAAAGATAAAGTTGGCAGATAAACGTAAAATGACAAACATATTAGTTAAAAAACTTCATTTCAAATCAAAGACAGCATGCAAAAGACCTTGTTCTGTACCTCTTGTATCCAAATTTTCAAGAGGATTACACAAAGCTTCAATCGGCGCTACACATTCATTAAACTCATCTTTCAGCGTCTTAACACAGCTTGATAAGTACTCCAATGCTTTGTTGACAATCTTTTCACAGACATTCCAGTGTGTTCAATAGAACATTCCATCGATAAGTGGTTGCAGCAAAGAAGGAAAATATTCTTCCAAGAGTACTGAAAATGTCATACATGAACTTTTTCGTAAAAGAGTGTTGACCACACAAGTTAAGCTTATGGTACACGTATCCATTAAAAATCGCGTTCTTATTATTTCTTTTCAGAACCACCTGAACACCTCCATGGATTACAGAAATGTTGGCATCATTATCATAGCCTTGAGCTATGAACATCATTATGTCTAGCCAATCAAGTTTCAGATTTGTAAGAATTTCAAAACTGAAGTCATCAGCTTTTATCCCTCTTAACGGGGAAAATGCAAGGAACACTTCTCTCACTTCAAATTTCCCAAGGTGGATTTTCACATATCTGATCACTTCAGACATCTTGTCACCTTGTGACATATCAGGTGTACTTCCGAAAAAAAA